AATTGGAAGAGTTCAAATGTGTCTTCTGGGGTGAATGAGTTAAAGTAGTATACAAACCATTTGCCTTGTTTTCATCTACATTGTATATTGGAAATCCTACCAATATATTGGTACAGAGCCTGTTTATAGGGAACACACACACAAATGACATCCTCTTAGTACGTACATACCATCTGATCATTATTCTAATAATAAATAATACAGTTTCTCCGAGATTCAACTTACAACATCTATATTGCAAAATAACACAGATTTCATTGACAAGACTTGCTTCAATAATGTCAACTCACCCAGTCGATCATCCCCTGCGGCTTCCAATGCCTCGCCCACTTTGCTAGTCCAGTTGTCAAAGGACTCTGCGCGAACCTTGAGTTTGTACAGCATGGCTGGGAGCTCGTCCAGTGTGTACCTGTAGCGGAGGCAGTGACGTGACGGGTCACAATCGCACAGCATCTCCACATGATGAATACACACCAGCTTGTCTGTAATACAATCATAAGTGGGGTTATGTCCAACTGTAAGAATGATGATCTTCGCTACTTTTGTGTTTACGGAATCTACACAAAATTATGCACATGACAAAAAATTAGGCATTGACACAACATTTAAGACATAATTAACAACAGGACAGGATTACAATGCAACAAATATCCAACAACAATCTTCTTATAATCAAAATATATCAATTAGTGAATACTACACAACCTCCAATTAACAAGGCAAAAGTATTGTAAGCAGGATGTAATCTCACAAATCATGGCAAGCTTCGGTAAAAATGAACAAAGGGCCATAACTCTACATAGTGGGGCAACACTCCACCATTCCATACAAAATTTGGCAACATAGGGGACATAATATGAAAATTCTAGAACTCGTTGACACACAATGAACCAATGGATTAAACAATGTACATAGCAGAGAAAGAGACTCAATTTCAGTATAAATTAAAACTTTTTTATGCTATTGACTAAAATCATTTCAATTAAGACAAAATATGGGATCTTGCAACTGGTAATACACAAAATTTGTGTTAGTTTTAAACTATATTGATTAAGTGTGCTGTGGAATCAGCATGCACAGCCGTTGCTACTAGTATAACAGATGATAAACTAAAGATTTAAATAAAGTCTAACAGAAATATTGCTTTACTTACTAGGACTACAAGGGCAGGTGACTCCGGACAGGAAACAGGTTGTTTTACATGAGTCACATTGCCGCTCATCATCAGGTAATAACTCAAATGCCTCACGCTCAGCCTCCATGGTACCCTACAAGTAAGGAGATTTTTGCTTTAGTTATTACTGTTATTGGCATTTCCATATATCTACTTTTACTAGAACATTGAACAAGATTCAAAACATTTGATTGTAATATTCTGACTCAATAAGTATTTACAACAAACAAAAAACTTTTTCAATTTAAGAATGACAGACACATGCTACCTTACACGTTTTACCTGTGATTTGTTTTAAGAGTTATTTCCCTTCAAAATTTTTAATGAATTTGAGAGATTTCAAATTATGAATAACCACAGCATTATTACCGCATGATTCTTGTATATCATAAAAGTGTAAACTAAGTCCTTTATTATAATAAAAATGTGTTCTTATTTTTAGTGTGGAACTCTTTTTGAAAGGACATCACTTCAAAGTAACATGTAGCATGTATCTTTAAGTTGGCAATATTTCAAGTCTACCCCTTTTCTCGTCTGATTGATAACTACCCACCAATGATTTAATTAACACAACTTACTCTGTCTAGAAGCTTCTTGCGTAGCTGTTTCTCCTTCTCAACGATTCCCAGTAAATCATGGTGGGTACAAGCAGCGACCTTGAGGTCAAGGTTGTCAGGATCAGCAGCCATCTTACACACCAACTCCTCATGGGAGAAGACACACTGGCGATTCAAGCTTCTGTAGTGGTCAATACAGGCCCTACCAATGGGTAGCTGCATAACAAGTGGAAAAGTAAAAACATTGTTATGAAAATGGAGCATATACTTTTAATGACTGGTTTATATGATTTACACAAATTTATTGTATTTTAGGGATGAAATACTGTAATATTCAAATCATGTCATCATCCAACAATAATACTATGCCATAGGGCTGTCATTGATGAGAAAAAAATGTATTGATACATTGATGACAAATAATATAGATATATTGATATATTGACCAGTCATGAATGAAATGCAATCATTTCCATTCTAAATGTCAACAACCTCTATTTAAGGACATGAAATTTTCATACAGCTATTGTGTCTAAATTGAAATACATTTTTATGCATATTTTTACAAATATAAAACAGTTATTTTTATACAGCCCAGTTTTGATATGCTAAAATTGTATCAATATTATATCAAACAAGTTTTTATCGATGTTATATCGATATTGAATCCATCAATGATCGCCCTACTATGCCAGTTTTTTTCCTGGAATTTGGGCATTTCCACCTTATTTATGGTATGAAAAATCAATCAATCAACTATGCTTAATGATATGTATCTTTGATAGTTGTTGGTACAGGTAACTTAACTGGTTAATTTAACAGTGAAATTCTGAATTTGCTCCAAAAAGTATGGAGGAAGGATAGACTGATTTTCAGTGCTGAACTAAACAGGAACATTATACTATCTGTGAAGTGAATACTGACCCAGTCAGCTGGACAGAAGTTGACTGCCTCCGCAAAGTTGTAGCCTTGGTTGAATCCAGCGTGATAGGCCCGTGGGAAGGTAACAATGAATTCTCCCGCATGCTGGTTGGTTCTAACAATCTGTTAATGTAACATAAAACTCATTACGACTGTACTTTTAAAAAATAGGTTTTTGATTTCTTTTTAAATTCTGTTATCACAATTTTTAAACTTCATTACTCCACAGCAATAAAGGAGAGGGCCTAGTATAAATTGCAAGAACTTGTGCCCAATCCCTTCGACTGTTCAATGTCAATAAAATATGTTTGAATAAACAGCAGTAAAAACTAATAAAATAACAAGCAAATATATAACCTGCTGGATGCAAATATTATGTAACAGGAAATTTAAATGTTTGTTACACCTTTCAGAGTCAGATACGAAACATTCTTTATATTGTTTTAATATACATCAACAGTTCGTCCACAAGGCAAGAAAGGATTGATATATGAATCTAAAATAACAAAACTATTTGATACACAAATCTAGCTTATACACGGAATAAGGTTACATACCGGGACACCCATGTCCATGAGTATATTTGGGTTCATAATGGTGGTCAATTGATGCAACAGATCTGGTGAATGCTCAAACAGCTCGGGAGCATTGGCTTTCATGGCATCCTCGAACTGGTCGGCACACTCGCCCGGAACCCCATACCATGTCTTAGGCTCACCCCTGTTATAACAGCAACCCGACATATACAGAAACTGTTGTAAGTGAACTTTGTAAAATATCATTATATAGATCACAGTCAAACCATGTCAAGTCAGACACTTGGTTACCAGAAACAAAGAAAATGTCTCTTAATCTCAATGTGTGGACAAATCATGAAAATATCACTTAAGGAAAATATCCTATGCACAGTATTCTGTTTAAACATTGATTGTTTGACCTCACAAGGAATAAATGTACAACCAAGACTGTTAGACTACAATAACACAGCACCAATACAAGCACTCTCCAGACCTTGTTCAAGTCTGTATAGCTTTGTTCAGAGTTATAATATTGTAACTCTTTACATATTTAGATCAGTTTTCATACAGTCACATGAAAGAGTTAACGAGTGAAGCCTACCAGTGGAGATAATTGATAGAGTAGCTCCAGTGGTCCTCATTGTGCCAACAGAAGCTGGAGAAGCACATCCCAACATAACACCAGGGAATCTGTTGATTATAAAGAATTGATACATTTTACACAAGTTGAAAATAAAAATTTATTTGAGATAAAAGACAAGGCAATTACATATAAACTTATTCAAAGAGTACTGCAGAACTGAAGGAGAGCTGATTCATCCAGTGTGTTATTCCTTTATATAAGCACACAAATCAATATTGTAATACCTAGTGTAAGTAATCCATATATGTACAATAGAGACAACTTACATACAACAAACAGTTATGACTGTGGCTCTCTCCTACCAGCTATCAAGGGAGATAACCATACAAAGGATACAAAACAGGTAAAATATCCTACCTTCATTCCAGAGATGTCAGCATTGATGTGGCAGAGAACTGACTGTTCTAGAACAGGTAGATTGTTCAGGTTCCAACCAGAATTAATGTATTCCTAGCAACACAAATATAGAATGTCATTACAGAATTGTGTAACATAAATAATTTTAAATACTTTATGCAGAAAAAAACATTTTACTGGCACACCCTTTCACATTCCACTTATATAAACAGACTTTTAAGTTTTTGCATGCGTAATGCATGCAATGTTTACACATGTATAGGGGCAATAAATATAGATCATTTTGTAGCTATTCTGCTATATAAAATTTTGATTCAGGTCAGGTACATGAAATAGCTTATTTTTATATAAGCAAATCTTTAAGCGTAGATAAATCTCCAACAACACAATGTCCAATACAATGTGTATGGAGACATTCAAAAGGTAGATCTGTACCCTGATGGTGAACTCGTCCAGGACAACATACCTCGTCTTCAGGGAACATGTCTTTATTGTCCTTGGTGGGGAAGCCACTGCCCATGTCGGCCGCGTGGATATCAGCACCATACTGTACACACACATCTTCCTCAATACAGTTTACCAGGCGCCAGAACTCCTTCTCCACTGCCTCGCAGCTGACCATCTGTTACAAAAGTTAACTTGTAATGATCGGGACTAAAAGAGCAATTGTATTAAATACACAAATTATAGTTAACTGCCACTGTTTATTAAGCAACTCTTGGCATTATAAAGGGGTCCGTCATTAAATCTGGGGCGATTTATTAAGGAATTGTTAAGAAAAAAAGAAAATTTGCTCCTGAAATATGTTGGCTTACAAAGGATATTACTACATACTGAAAATAATGTTTCTAGGTGACAAAATCTCTGCAGCTTATACTCAACATGTTATCATTTGATACCCAACAGTTCTTCAGAACAAATTTTATCTTAAAACATGCAATTTCCCACACACACTGCAAACAAAACATAACATGGCCATCAAAATGTTAAATTCCGAAAACACATTTGAACTTTCAGAAGCAAAACACTTTCAGAAGCAAAACTAAGACCTTCTCATTATTTAACGCAAGAAGGCCTAAAGCAACATAATCTGTTATAATAAATATTAATCCTAGTGCCCGATTCCTACTTACATGAACTGGCATACTGAAGTAGTTGGATTTGAACTGATCTGCCATCTCTCCAAAGGACTGCAGACTGTACTCTCTCTTTGCCTGTTCAAACCCATAGGGACCCTGTGGTTTACCGCACACCTGTCGTAACAAAATTTATCAAGTTTTGAACGGCTTCCTGTTCAGCATTTTACACTGATTACAATAAATACACACAGTTACAGCTATCAACCAACAATAAGAAACCAATGTCACAATCCTGAGCGTATAACAAAGACATAAAAAATCAGGCAACGGTACCGACAGCTTATATAAATGCCAAATCAATTGGTAACAATGTAAGAAAAACGGATAAAATTAACATTTTTCAATTTTGGTTTTAAAACCTTGATACCAAGTTATAACATGTTTCCATCTTTTTAGCATCTAAAAGTTCAGAACTCATTGCAGAATTAAGTGTGTGTTAATACATACCTGTTGAATGCACCGAGGACATCGCCAATCCCCTTTAGGGACCTCTTGTAGGGGTGGGATCAGACAGTAGGTATGGAAGGCGTCGTCACAACCATCACAGAGCAGCATGTACTCGTCCCCGTCTCCACGGCCACACATGTGGCAGATGTAGCTATCCACCTGCATCACAAATACACACATCTAACATCCTGGCTCACCTACAGTGTGTAAC